TCATTTATGAAGAGGATGTAGAATTGAGGACTACAACATTGTCCTTGACGTGTACCTTGCAGCACGGGGAACCAGTCGGAGACAAATCCATTTGATTTTACACAACTGTAACAATTTTCGAAGAACGATTTAAATATTTGAAACAAAGATATATCAATACCACTTTGATACAGTTTTAGTAACAATGAAGAAATCCAAGTGTGATCAAATGCTTGTTTCGCATCTAAAAACATGTATACATTTGAGAATTATTTTCTATGGAGTATTGTACACATTCGCGAAGCATAAAACAGCTAACGTTTTTTTTGAAAACCACCTTGTGATGGATATAAATGAATGCCACCATCCATTTCTGCAATTTGTAGAACGACCTTTTCAAATAATTTTAACAATGCGGAACAAAGGGAGATAGCTCTGTAACTAGCTGGATCATTTCTCTTTTTGTTACCTCCCTTAAATAAAACTGTTATTATGCCTTTTTCATATCTGTAGGTGTGTGTGAGAATTCAAACATATGATTGAAGAGTTTGGTAATACATTTTATCAATAAATCTCCGCCATAAATGAAGTTCTCATAAAAGAGATTGTCTTGGTCACAGGCTTTCCTTTTCTTGCAAGAATTACCATATCGCTGGTGATTATGTATTTTACATGTTGTTTACTTCGATAGTTACTTTTAATTGTTTCAAGTTCACCTTCTACATATGATTTGTAATCAGAATCAAAGTTTTCATCATTATTTTTTGAGTATAGTTGCGAGAAATAAGATTTCCAACCCTTGTTTACTTCCTGCGGATCTGATACAGTAATTCCATTGAAAGTCATTTCAAAACCGGGTGTATATTTGGTTTTTGAATTATTTTTATTAACCAATCTCCAAAATTTATTGTTATCTAATTCCGATGCTTTGTCTAGCATACATTCCTCTTTATCTAGGAAAGATAGACGGATTGGCGACGAGTTTTCCGAAAGAGGGTCTTGGCTATTTTGAGAAGTTGTGTCACGTGGCTTTCCATCGCTTATCCATTGTGCTCGGGCTAGTGTCATTTTTATGCGCAGTTTTTAGACTGTCATTCCAGTAAGGTTTGATGTAAGGTTTAAACTTTACCTTAGGTATGTATTAATCTATTGCTAGATTAACAATTACAACTATTCCAGAGTAAAATTCATCAATATCGGAAATTGAACGTGTTGGCATCTTATTTGCTAAATGTAAAACATCACTATTTTCAAGGAAAGTCTCATAATCCTCAAGATTCTTTGATTTGACGTTGTGCCAGTTAATGACGTCTTTTCGTTCTCTAGGACGTGTGCACTCAATTCTCGGAATTACATATTTGCACACAATAGGTCTGTGTGTAGAGACACATAGTGAATTGTCTTCTATAATTTCACATTGTATAAAGTTTTGTAATGACCATTCTGGAACAAAAATATGATCAATTAGTGTTTCTCTACATGAGTTGTAAGGAACATTGCTATATATACACCCTTGACACATAGATGATGTAGTTAAAGAAGTTAAATTATAATTAGTTGTAATATCTAATAGTTTAACACCTCTAGAGTCTATAACTGTGTCAGAACTTCTTACAGACGGAAGTTCCGTATTAAAGTCACCCAAAATGATCACAGTACCTTTACTGATAAATTTACAAATGACGTTCTCTAATTCTTCGACATACGTTGAATATGACATCATAGAATGATTTTTACAAGGTAAATACACCTGAATGAGATAAACATAAGTTTCTGGAGAGGTCATAATTTGTATTCCTATACACTGCTCCGAATTCAAGTCTAAAGGTGCGATCATGTGATTTATTTCTTTTCTCCACATAAACGCTAAGCCTCCTGTTCCTACCTTTCTACGTGATAGGGTGTCCAGTGAAGGATCGGAAATTGCATAGTTAATATAGTTAGTATTTATGGTGTCAAGAAAGGACAGGTCAGCACGATACAGCCAGTGTTCTGATAGTCTGCATATATGAATATTCTGAGATATTAAAAGGTCACTTAAATAGCTAGCACTAGACATAACGCCGTTTAATGTAACATGTTCTTGTGTTTTGGCTTACTTCTATCAGTTATAATAGTAGGGATCGGGTTTATGTCGGCAGGGGTTGCAACGTATGGAACATATGACATAAGTGGGGCATGCAAAGCCCGCTCTTCCGAAGCCCGAGCTTGGTATATAGGTTCATGCTTGATTGGTGGTGGCATTGAACCTATATCTGCCACTTTGCCGGATAGACCAGACTTGTTTGAAATGTTATAAACTATGCGCGTTTTAACGTTTTGAAATTCAGATGAAAGGTTAATCACCGATTCCTGTATTGATTTAAATTTTTCTTGATTCTGGTGTATATAAGTTTTTCACGCGCGTACATCATTCCCGATTTTGGACTCCGTCTCAATAAGGCGCTTGTTGACATCATTTGTCAATGATTTTGCACTGTTAATTTCTTTATCTAACGTCTGAGACACTTCTTTTGCATTTTTTATGTGCCGCATTCGTTGACGATTCGCTAAGCGTTAATGTCGTTTAATCATCACGATATCAGCTTGCAGAGCAGCGATGGTTGCCTTTAAATGGTTGAATTCTGCTCGGCATTGGCTGTGGTCATTACCTCCTGGAATTGATGCTAATTATATCCTTAAGCAGTGAAAAGTCCTCACCCTCCATCACATTAAGAAGTATTTTAATATCGCAAGCCAGTTTCACATTTACTGGGTCTCCACTTCGTGTCGTTACACGCTTTTTTAGTTCCTTTTCACGGTCATATGGGAAGCCGTCAAATTCTTTCACAATATCGAAGAGCATTCTTCGGAGTTTTTCAAGGTTATGTTCAGAGTTGGTATATTCGATTAACAGCCGGTCAATAAATAAATCGCCTGGGTAGTCCCTAAGCATTTTCTGTAAAGCATTGAGTTCAATCAGATCATCAGCAGTTTCGTAGTCTTCAAACAGCGAGTCAGCTATGTAAGTTGAACTATCAATAATAGAGCGGTTCCGCATAATCACACTATCCGAAATCAGGTCAGATGGTATTGATTTGATGTGACGCCAGTCAGACGTGTTAGTTGACACACAAACGGGGATTTTTACTTATGTGTTTTGAGAAACTGTCACTGGCTCTAATTCCGCATAATCGGCGCTACTCTCCATTATGTTGCTTTATGCACAAATCATAAACACTGAAGTATGAATAAGCAAGTGTATAATCCAGAAAATATTAGTCCACTTAGACTACTGAATAGTAAGCGTTTGTTATATACTTGCAAGCATCAATTTTTGAAATAGAAACAAAAAAAGAAAAAAGTGATTCCGTCTAATTGTCTCAAAAGTTAAACACAGAATTCCATAAGAGAAGCTACAAGCGCGTATTTCAATCTGCGCTGCACTCAAGCGTGACGAAAACCTCTGTCAGTAGGGGTGAGTGATCGTTTAATCTTTCCACATTATAATTGAATCTAGGCCGTAGGGCGCTGGTTAGTACGGACTTTATTTGAATTGTTAACAGTACATCAAAAGTCATTCATAATCCGCTGTTTTTATATACCTATTTCTTATATCGACTCCAAAATGGCTGAATAACACAGAGTCACTGCGCCTCAGGCACTAAATATCCATTGTTTTTTTGTTTTTGTCTAATAACTCCAATGTGAATCACTATTTAAAATCCAAAATTGAGTATCGTAAGGTCCTGGTATTAATGAATTATTGTGCCATTTTCCAATACTAGGCAATATTTCTAACAATTTTTAAAACAAGAAAACCCTAGCAACCATCGATTATATCACCGGTCGCAAAACGGGGTATTTTTTCCAGCCAAAGTCGCTAGTTACACCTTTAACATTTCATTATCAACTTGTGTGGCCATATTGGCCATACGTTTTACACAATCCGAACATAAAGTACTATTTCTATCATCATCCGCTAGAATAAAGGCTACTTCCCGAATAAAGTCATGCAGCTTGTTAAAGAATAGCATAATTCATTAGATAATATCCTGAATTTTTTAAATTCTACATTATGAATATTGATATAAGACATGGGTATACAGTACATTCTTATGCAAAATAAGACACGACTTTTGACTGTTTGAAACGGGCTCTTGAACACTTACAGATCTTTATCTTAAATTGCATTTAAATAAGAATAACTTTTACTTCAATAGCGTGTTGGTTTTTCTTTTTTCTGAAGGACCAAATTCAAATTTCTTGCATGTCAGAAAATATAAAGGATATACATCGATTGTATATTGAAGTAATATTACAGGAATAAAGGCACCGAATGGAGTTACTTTGTGCCAGTATGCAATCTAAGTAGAAGTCATTAAATGTTGTTCTTGGGAAGTACATTTATAATGATTCTTTGAAAGAAAAAGGAAGAAGGTGTCAATAAACTAGCTATTAGAAATAGTAAGGCTAATAAAAGAGCACGATATTGTGCGGAACATATGTTGCAAATTTATAATCAACCTTCGCACAGGATGTATTCATACATTAAGACACATACAGAAACGTTAAAAATAATGAGAAAGAGTGAATTGATGAACATAATAGAGTTATTATTGATACATGTATAAGTTACAATTTCGCAAACGCAGAAGATAAACATTTATGATAATAAAATTATAATAGAGATATATGAATTAACACTGTTAAAATTTGTGTTGTTTTAAGACTATGACTTTTTATTTAAATTCATTTATAAAAGTGTCGTTTCTTAGATTTTATTAAATTGACTGTTGTAAATTTAAATAATTTATCATTTTCGGCCCCATAAAGTCGGGATTGCGCTCATATGCATGAAGTATGCGTGAAGTAAGAATAAGTCACTTCCTATGTTTTTGAAGTGTGAAACGTAATTAGTTTTGAATAGACGTATAAAGTAGACACAATTGCTGTACATTTTTATGTAGCATCTTACCCGACATTGGCAAATGAAAATTAAAAACATTAAAAAACATAATCATGAAATAAAAATCTCTTACCCATCCAAAAAATGCAGCAGCCCCAGCACTGACGTCACGAATCTGTAACATTGAATAATCCTCTATCGGACGTTTGGCAGCTTGTGCCACATCTTTACTACAGTTTTTGGTTTCAAACAATTTTATACGCCGCATTAAAGATTCACGTCCAGTCTTATTCATCAGCGTTTGACATGTGCGCCATTCCTGAAATTATTCCAGTTTAACAGGTTAGCTTCAACAATATAAAACTGATCATTTAACTTTTTGGGCGTCATATAGAACTACTCGAATTCTTGAATCTTTTAAAACGGCAGGCGACGTACTTTTCCGATTATCATATCGACAGCATCATAACCGTTTTGCGAAAATATTTCTCATATATCTATGTCTTGAAATACAAAAATGCCTTTTCTTTAATTTTGTTTTATTACATATCAAATGTATTAAATTCTTCTTTGAATTTATTAAGATTTAACATTATATTTTTGTTACATAGTTACATTTTCTCTTTCTTACATCTATTTAATTCACATAATATCGTTTTCTTATTTACTGATATTTTTGTTTCCAAATTTAACGTTAACGATTGGCGCGGCTTAAGAAATATGTATTTTTATCTAAGCGGAAATGCAATGACCATAACAAATTTAAAACGTTCATACAGTTTGTAAGCATCACGACGATACATTTAAAACGCCGCAATAGTTGGTATGTTTATTTATTTGTTTAAAAATGATAATTTATATTAGGATTTTATTGAATGTATCTTAAATAAGATTATTTAAGTGTACTGTAATTAGAGCTCTATTTAAGTAAAATATGTTTTAATTTATGTGAGAGGTTTGATGATCGTACGTTTATTTTTATGTTTTGATATAATTATCTTTGTATTTCATGTATGATCTATTTTTTATTCTCTTTTGTACAGAGAATCGTTTCACGTTTCACGTTTCCCGTTAATAAACGCATTCTCACTATAGTCTGTCCCATTAAAAATGGAAATGAACTTTTGCCTGGTATGAATTAACAAAACGACGTTGAATAAAAAATAAAACTTTTTTGTAAATTAAAAAAAAGTCACCCTCGAGATTTTTCAGGATTTTACTCTAAAGTGTCTACTTTCTTGTGAAAGCAAATTTTGATTTCTCTATGGTAAATCTCTGTTGTTTATTTTCCGTAGCCATTTGAAGATGAACGGGAGAAAGCACGTGTCATGTTTCTAAAATATACAAGAGGTTCTCGGGGTCGTTTCATGATTATTTTAAAAAGCTGGATCTACAAGATGTAACAGTTTAGTTGCACTGCATGATGGAAAACTTTAAAAAATGAAAAATAAGCAACAAGAACACCCATTCACATGGAGTAGATCTAGAAATTGCACTTACTTTTAAGCAATGAACTTTATAAACGTCACGACAAATTCGCATTCTGAAGATTCCTTCATTGCCAGTTTCTATCCAGTTCCGTAGATCCCACTATTTACTTCAAAAATCCTGAATGACATGACTCCTACACTTTTGATGATCCAGATTTTTTAAACTGGTAATCCGTCGCTCATTATTAAAACATTGTTCAATTTGTGGAGTTATCTGGGTTAGCAAATGAAATATGTAAATGAAACACATCGATTATAATTCAGCATGTTCCAAATCCATAATTCAACAACGGCCCATCAATTTAGTTGTCAACATCACATGTTATGGATTCCTGATGAAAAAAACTTTATTACGTCAACAACAGTTTACGAAATATATGACGTAACAAAAATGCCTCGCGTTTTTTATGGATGATTCCAGTTGCGGCATTGACAGGGGGCGGTTAGGCATATGTAACCTCAAACAGATAATATTAAGCGTTGAGATAAATTTGCCTTGATGGCATTTAAAATAATTTTTGTATACCCAGATTTTGCAACTTACCTCTTCAATTCATATATTAATAATATAAAACTTTTGATAACATTTAAAAATAATTTTAAACACACTTAATGACATGAATCTACAACGGTAAAATACTTCTTCCATTAATTACATATAACATTTGTTTTGATTTTATGTTTTGTTTTTAAACAATTTTATATATTTATCAGAAATAATTTCCCTACATATTATCTCGTTATTCAAGACTTCTGTATACCCTACTCTTTTAGCTTCAAAATATACAATACGCGGTATTTTTCTCCCGCGAAAAATATGCTAGATCTTTTGTTTTTTCACTGAATATTTTCAAACTTTAGGAAGGCTAAAATTATTGAGAACGTCACCCGGTGTTTCTCTTTGACTCGATCAACCCTTCATATTAACAAAATAATTATATGTAACACGTTGAGTCTACAAAATACACTTATTGTCGCTTATTGAACCTTACTCTTAATAATATCAAATCACTGCCAGTATTGCTGGACATTTTGTTGAATTGTGAGACGGAAAGTTAAATCTGTACTTACGAAGGCCTACGTTTGATTGCTTAAACTAGAAAGCATGATATTATATTCTTATAATTTACATTTTCCTTGAAAGCGAGTCTGAGTTCTCTCGTTAAATTAGCGAGGGAGTTAGTTAAAGTAGACACTGTGGTAACAAACAAACCAATGCTGAACGTATAGTGAATCAGTTTTCCTTTCTTTATATTTTTTTAAAGATTTGCATGATAATGTCGTATTTGTTGGCGATTTCTTGTGAAAGTTGAAACCTACGGAAAGTTTTAGCGCATTCGTGACATCGCACCCGAAATAAGAAGGGTAACATATTTTTGTATCCCATCAAACCTCGCCAATTTATTTATTTTTGAATAGACGTGATACACACTTATCGACAGAATTCAGACAACTACCGAATTATTTTAATTAAACATTAATAAGGGAAGAATCATATTTTATAGTCTTCTAGCTAGTGTTCCCGCTCCCCTACGACGCGTTGCGGTATTTAAGATACGCGCTTGATTGAAAAGCTATCTAATCAAATACTTCACTGTTCTTTAACTCTTAAAAAATATAAAATACAACAGTATATCATGGTAATTTACTTAATCTTTGTGTGTTAGAATTTATAAAGCTCACTGATATTTTCACTTCAAATGATTTTGATTATTTTAAATAATGGTTTGCTAGTAAAATTGCCTTTTTGACACCAACTTTGTTGTCATTTTTCATTTTAATGATAACATTTAGCTATTGGTCAGTAAGTAAATAAGAATAATAATTTTTCTATAATTACCGAGTACATTTCACGGTAATTGTGAGACGAACCCTAAATGACGTCTATATGGGCGCCGCCATTTTGAAATGGACGTCACGTCAGGTTACAACGTAAGTCGACGGGAAAATATATAATTTTAACATTTTGACCATATTACTGACTTTTTGAAAAAAATGAAAAACATGCCTAGAGATATTGACGTCAGGGTTAACATGACATTAATTTAAATGATTTTACTATTATATTAAATAAAAAATGGAATGTTCAAATTTGATGGGACAGACTATAACACTGGCGTCGTGTGTTTATAAAATGCTTAAACTAATCAAAGTCATATTTACACTAATCTCATTGTTCTTAACTTTGTTTTAGGTTTATTTAAGTTACTGCATATACCTTCGGGTAGACATTAAAGTGTTAAAACAACAAACTATTTGTCTTACCGCAACTTCTTTAGGAGTGTTTCCGAGCAATAAAAAAGTTGCCATCATTGTTTGATGAACGCCTTCTGGCGGGTGGGGAAACGATTTGATCTCAGCGATTGTCTTGCTGTCTAAGTTGAGCACAGCATGTCTCAGCTTCTCTAACATTTCTAGCTGTACTATGAGTTTATGTCCCAGGCCTAGTTGTGTATCCAGACGATTGTCGAAATTAACTTCTTCTGCACGTGCAAAAGCTTTTCTCATCACATTCAGCTCACGTATTTCAAACGCTTTATTGAGTTCTTTAAAAAGAGGTTAGATACAATTTGTTATGAATAAATTGCATATATTTAGTCAAGCGGCATATTTTAGAAGTATCCTAGTCTGATATAGATGTGCAATTCCAGACCTGTGCTCATAGATTATGTATCATTACTTGTATGTTTTACTGAAAGTAACTGTCAACTTCTGCATGTTTATCAACAGAAACAGTGGTCGTCCTCAACCAAATCGATAGAAAAATACGTGCATTTCAAATTTATCAATGGCAAATGATCTTTGACATTGAGCCTAATGGTTATCTGTCTGTTTCTCACCGCTGATTCCAATTAGATTATTAGCTGGTCGCTTGTGGAGAAATAGATGATTATTGATAATTATCTAGAATAGTCGATTAGGTGGACTGGCCGCCAAAATGTGATTACATCAGAGTAAACAAAAAGAACTGACGAATCCGAGGACCCTTGCCACTGAGAAAATCTGACTTGGGAGTGCAATATGAGTGTTCTTTTGTTGTTACACAAACAGAAAAAGACATTTTTCTTATTCCAGTGTGGCAATACCACGTGACATTGACGTCATTTTCGGCATCATTCCCAAGACAAATGTTGCTCGATTCGGAAAAGAAAATAGCTGTAAATATTTTATTTCTGTACCAATTTCTTTGGGAAATGCACCAGTCTACGGGGAAAAATATAAGCTTTCCATAGAATATTGGATCTTCGTCAGTATATAAGCCGTTTTATCAAACACTTTGCCTAACCTTGGAAGTTGCTTGTATTAGAGCGGGCTTCAGTTGCAAGCTATTTCGTTTTCTGGCGTTATCTGGTCTACGCCATAATTAAAAAGTAAGGTTTACATCAACCGGGAGTACGGAAGGCAAAACTCTACCTAAATATGTTCATATTTTTATTATGAATGACATAAATCTTACATTTTACTTCAATTGTCAAATCTGGCACCAGTTCCAAGTCGAAAAAAAGGACTACAGTTTAAAGCCGATTTTAGAATCCGTTGCAAATGCGAAGCAACATGCCTACCGTTCTCTTTCTACAATTTAGTTTTTCACTGTTGATCTTTCACAGAGAGATTATGAAAAAACTGATTGTTCCTTAAAGCAACAACACTTACTTGTATCGCAATAGTGCACGTCAAATCACGTAGATTTAGTCCTGTCGGAAAATAATGTTTGGTATCGTTTTGAAGATGTTTAAAGTATTGCTCATCTTTTCCTATGTAGTTAAATGTGTTTTATTCTATTTCACAAAGGCGAAATTGATAAGAAATATATGTGCTCTCAGTGAGAGAAAGAGTTAATATAAAAACACTTTTGTATGATATGGAAAGGGTTACACTTTAACGCGAGTGTTGTTAAGCTAAAGGTATATTTTTCAGTTTATTCTGACAAACACTGACACTCGTGAATGTGACGAACAGGTTCTTCTGTCCTCAAAAGAGAGACTTTTAAAAGGTATATATTTTTCTGGAATTGTTGTATAATAAAGTTCTATAGAGTTTGATAAACTAAAACACAATTTGAACTTGGAACTTTGCCTTGTAAATCTGATAGAATTGTTACTTAGTTGCATTACTTATAATTCTCTATTTATCAAAAAGACCCAAAATAGCCATGAATAAGAACGAGAATGGACGCCATGTGGAGTAAACAAAGTAGAAAATAGTTAACAGATAAATGATTTTACAAACCATCATCCATCGATCAAAATCAAATTTCTTGAAACAAAACATTCAACATTACGGAAATAACAATGATTATCAATAATTATATAAATATTTACATTAACATCTGTAATAGCAACATCGGCAAGATCTATGACTGGGGTCCATATGCCACTGATGCGTCCATTGAATAATTGATAGCTAACATAAGCTTAGTAAAATTACGATTACATTTGAAGAGTAATTTCAATTCTTATCCTTCAACTGTCAAATGACTTACTTCTTTATTTACATATCAGATAATTCACTTATTTAGTATATGCGTCACGTTTATCATGTTTTAGATTTTAATGTGCGATCCTTTTTAATCTTAAAATGCTACAAAAAGCCTGTTTAGGACATTTGCAGGTCATGCCGCGTGCAATAATCCATGCATTTACAGCCAATGGCCACATCGATAAGAAATAGTCCCAAATAGCCCTATCGTTTTTATTCAGTTGAAAGAGACATTATTGTTAAAAAAGTTCTACTCGATTTAAATGTTTTCAAACCACAAATATTCCGTTCCATTCCTCTCTTTACAATGTATATTGGTGAGCTCTCTGATAAAGCTGAGTTGACTGATATAATTAACTAAATTTGTCAGATATGCAGTTCATCAACAGAAATAAATGCAATTATAAAATAGATAGTGTTTAATAGTGTTCTTAAGTTAACGAAGTTATATCCAGTTCACGAAAACGGTTACCGTGGGTATGAAAACAGGATATAAAAATATTTTTTATCAATGAGTGCCACTGTGTTAAAAAGCTTAATCTATCATACTAAAAGATTGCTACAGGTTCTTTATATGTATACAAAGGCTCTTTACAAAAGAATAACATTTGACTTTAAAATTGCCGCGTCGAGGCGTAACCCTTTTTACAGCATACAAATCGAAGTGATCCGGAATGTGCACGTTCATTGGACAGGCTAGCTAAGTCAATCAGAGCCTGAAACATTTTCAATTTTGCCGTTTTAGGGGAAATTTAGGGTTTCTGTTTTCTATTCCATGTTTAGTATTGCTACATGACACAAAAAATGTTTCATAATCATTACCGTGAAAGAACAATGATTAAAGAGTAAATCAATTTCTTAACAAATACTGCAGTATACAGACAACAATTTTACTACTTTTAAAATCACTTAAATATCGCAGCGAGGAAAAATTATTTAAATATTCATTTGTGTTTATGTAAATTGTATAGAAAATAAAAAGTTTTTCATGGTTAACTTCGCATTTGCAACGGATTCTAAAATCGGCTTTAAACTGTAGTCCTTTTTTTCGACTTGGAACTGGTGCCAGATTTGACAATTGAAGAAAAATGTAAGATTTATGTCATTCATAATAAAAAATGAACATATTTAGGTAGAGTTTTGCCTTCCGTACTCCCGGTTGATGTAAACCTGACTTTTTAATCATGGCGTAGACCAGATAACGCCAGAAAACGAAATAGCTTGCAACTGAAGCCCGCTCTAAAACAAGCAACTTCCAAGGTTAGGCAAAGTGTTTGATAAAACGGCTTATATACTGACGAAGATCCAATATTCTATGGAAAGCTTATATTTTTCCCCGTAGACTGGTGCATATCCCAAAGAAATTGGTACAGAAATAAAATATTTACGGCTATTTTCTTTTCCGAATCGAGCAACATTTGTCTTGGAAATGATGCCGAAAATGACGTCAATGTCACGTGGTATTGCCACACTGTATTCTAAGTTTCAGAAAAATAATTTTAAATCCTGACTTAAAATGTTTATGAAGATTGTGTGTTTTATGATACCTTCTTTAGCATCTAGTACATCAAGTGTTTTCCTTGCATCAAGCAGAATCCCGTCATCATCTGGCGGGTTAAGTTTCGAGTATGCTTCCATGTTACGTTTTATCATCTCCGGGTCCTTCTTGTCAATAGCATTCTGCAATTTCTCTCTGGCGGTCGCACGCCGTTTCTCCTCTACAAGTAAATCATAACAAGTGAAAGCACTGGCAATACGGTATTCAGATCTAGCCTATATTAATAAGAATGGCTTGTTTTGCATATAGCTATTTTACTAAAATAAGACGTGTTCAATACATTTATATTGAGGTAGCATTTTAATTCCTCTTAAAAATGATATTAAAAATGAGAAAGATTTCATTCATAAATTAAAAATCTGTCACAAATAGTGCCAGAAGGTTACAGAGAATTGCAACGGCTGTTAACGAACTTATTTTTTTCGGACGTAGTCCGTCTGTTATCGTTTTGACTTCCTGTAAAATTAACAGAGACGGACTGAAAATAAGAATAATTTTCATTGGTCATTTTTAAATTACAATCTGAAATTGGTGAATCTTATTGGTCATTCTAAAATAAAATTTAAAGGACAGTTCTAACCATGCTAAAAATGTTAAGGATAGTGCTTACCATTCTAAATATAGCTCTATGATAAAATGTAAGGGACAGTTTTGTCACTATCAAATAAAATGTAAAGGATAATTTAAAATGTACATGAATAATGATAGTTCTTGAACTTTTAGGTTAATTTGTAAATGATTACACAATTTATATATTCAAAACGGAAAACAAGTAAAAATAACACCTTAAATAGAAGTTGTTCATCCATGAAAAATCATCAATATCAATTTGTTATAATTTAAATTCAATGATTAAAAAATGGGTATTTTCGCTTCATGAAATAATAATCATCTCATTGTCATTCAAGCATAGCTAATATTTTTTGTACTGAAAACTTAAAGATAACATTCATTTTTATGTTTAACGGTTATACTTCGGCCGAGTATCTTTTTAAAAGATACTTCTTGTTTTAATTCACTAAACATATATGATTAAAACAGGTCTCACATGATTCAAGTTTAAATGTTCAACAATAGTAGTCAGGGTTTGACTGTCGTGTGGGAAATGGGAGGTCAAATTTATATTTTGTCATTTTCAAATGTTTTATTTCTTCTTTTCTATCAGATTATATTTAGTTATCAATAACAATGACTATGTTTAAATACGGCATTATTTTAAAACTTTAGGCGAGGTCCCTCTCAGTAATACCAAATGTTCGTTGTTGTTTGGTGGTAGTTCTGCTCAATATGCCAATGTCTAGACGACCACAGCGGTACGGACATTCAACAAAATGAAGAGGGTAAAAACATAATTCAGATCTACTGTGGACACTGCAATACTATTTGGACAATGCCTTGCAAGCGTTTGTAGAGACACATAACTTCACTTTGAATACATAGTTGATAAATTTGCAGCAAAAAACAGCGCCTGGCATTTCTCTTCTTCGATAATCGTGAGGAAATTCAAAGAACACGTCAGTTTGTTAAAGGCTTCTACAGAATTCGGTGAAAGACGAAATAAAACTTTTGTTCTGATTCGAGTTAAACAGGTTTATGGGCGTTCTTTTGGGGTTCTATTTTTCTGTTTTACACTAGAAAATCAGAAGATAAATTGAAAAAGATTTTTTTTTAGATTTTCGTCTGCAAAAGTGTATTTGGTTATTTGTCAGCATGGTGTATTTGGATTTTAAATTTTGTCTCCATTGGTGTACGCATATTTTTTCTGCATTATACCTGCAATTCTGGATGTTTTTGTCTGTATTGGTGTATTTGGATTTTTATTTGCGTTGTAGAATTTACATTTTATTCGTGCATTTGGATTTTTATCGGCTATGACTGATGGCTGCATTGGTATAAACAGATTTTTCTTTGTAATTATGTAAATGCATTTCTATCTGCATTGGTATGTTTGTATTTTGTCTGCATTGGTATATTTGGTTTTTATCTCCATTATTGTGTTTGGATTTTTTCTGTATTAGTGTTTTTCACTGATATTGCTGTTGACAAAGTCAGATATCTAGCAGGACTGTCAGTTGTCAAGATAGTGGTCACATTTTACATCCTGGGATTACATTATACACATTAAAACTGCAGACATTCTATTCTACTGAGCCTTTATTAGACTCCATCAATTTGTGGTTAGAAGTCAGGCAATGAATTGACAACAAACGTCAACGTGTGTATATAATTATATCAAATACAGACATCTAAGTCAAAACAGATTTAAAGAAATAACAATGTATGAATAAAATGTCAATAAATAACTGTTTTCATTTATATGAATGATTTCCAAAAAAAATGTCACATATACGTGATCTTGAACAAGATAACACAAAGAAGTGCTGAAACAATTCATGAATTTCATGTTTTATATTAAAATCACCATTAAACTAATGCAAAATCGTCAAAAGTTATCAAACATCATTTCCAAGCATATATGTAAACATTCATTAAAATATACCGTTATCATAGACATAAAGTAGCATCTGTAACCGATATAGAACTTGTCAGTTGATTTTGACAGACAGCTAATTACCTCAATGTTGAAGGAAACTTTTTATGTTATTTACTTGTACACAAAATAATACTTAGATGAATGATTTACCAATACCATGGCACTATTTTGATGAAAACCAACATTTTTATATTATTATTTTTTTCTGAGAAAATATTTGGTAGCTCAAAGGCAATGTATACTTGGCAAAATGGAATGTGAACTAAACGGTCTGCATTGCTAAATTCCAGTTCCTTAATGGCAGTGTATTGATTTGCTAGTTGTACTTAATAAACATTAACATTGTTCAAAGTTGACAAGTTATGCTGATATAGCAATATTTGTGTTTCCTTAAGTAATTTATTCATATTTACAATAAGATATTATACAGTGAAATGTACAATCACATTGTAGATTCTAATTGTTTTATACAAACATTAACAACATACATGCAAATATTGTGTTGTTTGTTTAGTTTATACATTTTAGTTCGATTGTGCTGGAAGCTATAAGCTTATTGAAACACTCTCGAATACGTTCCTGGAACCAACCAGTCTTTAGCAATGAATGTTAAGTTTCTTACTCAAGGAAACAACCGCTTGCCCCTGACAGGGTTTGAACCCACACGGCCAGCAATCCTTAGATTACTAATCCGACGCGTTAACCTCTCGGCCACGCCGCCATTGTTGTTTGTTTAGTGTCATGATCATTGCCAATATTAAAAACACTTTAATCAGTGCAAAAATATAACCACAAAATAAGGGGCATCCATACTTTATATAGATTTGGTAATAAAGAGACATACGGAATATTGACACATATGCTTCTTTTATAGTCCAAACACAAGAATTAAGTGTCATAAGTGTAAATGAGAAATTCAGGAATAATAATAAATAACTAGTTTTCCCGATTGCATGTTTTTTACTATAAACTCATCGCACGTTGCAAAATTAACAAAATCAAATGAGAAATAGTTGTTTTGAGTGTTAAAAAGTCATATTGCGTTAAACCAATGTAATAAATGCTAACGTTTCCAACGTTGTTATCTCTGCTGTACTTAAATCACCAGTTCTAACACGACCCGCATTTTCACTATTAAAATTAATATAGAACGTCAAACAGTGATTTAATAGCATATTCTAACACGACCCGCATTTTCCCGTATTGAACATAGAGGAACCGAAAGTGTGTGTTATTTAAGAAATTATGTATCCCAAACAGTGATTTTATCGCTCAATAACATCACTGTTTGGAGTTCGGATGCGAGGAATTATATCACGAGGGCGTAGCCGGAGTGATATAATGATGCGCATCCGAACGACAGTGATGTTATCAAGCGATAAAATCACCGATTTTGGATATATTATTTCGATTCTAACACGACATCAACAAATAAATGCTGCCGTACCTGATATTACGCAAAATGCGCCTGATTTGTTTCCGTACTTAATTTCATCGCGTTGTATTTTGGTGGTTACGTCACGTGTATAATGATTACGTCACATGTCTAAATATAGAACGTCAAACTGTGACTCTGTTGCATAATAACACACACTTTCGGTTCTTCTATGCTCAATAGGGAAAAATGCAGGTCGTGTTAGAATATGCTATAAAATCACTGTTTGACGTTCTATATTTAGACATGTGACGTAATCATTATACACGTGACGTAACCACTAAAAATGTGTCTTGCTGACAATAAGTACGGAAACAAATCAGGCGCAATTTAGCTAATTATAATACGGCAGCATTTATTTGTTGATGTCGTGTTAGAATCGAAATAATATATCCAAATCGGTGATTTTATTGCTTGATAACATCACTGTTTGTCGTTCGGATGCGCATCATTAAATCACACGGGCTACGCCCTCGTGATATAATTCCCCGCATCCGAACTCCAAACAGTGATGTTATTGAGCAATAAAATCTCAGTTTGGGATATATTATTTCTTAAATAACACACACTTCTATGTTGCATAGGGAAAATTGCGGGTCGTGTTAGAATATGCAATAGAGTCACAGTTGACGTTCTATATTTAGATATGTGACGTAATCATTATACATGTGACGTAACCAAAAAATATCCAACGCGCTTAAAATAAGTACGGAAACAAATCAGGCGCAATTTTGCTTAATATCAGGTACGGCAGCATTAATTTGTTGATGTCGCGTTAGAATCGAAATAATATATCCAAATCGGTGAGTTTATTGCTTGATAAAAACACTGTTTGTCGTTCGGATACGCATCATTATACCACTCGGGCTACGCTCTGTGATATAATTCCTCTCATCCGAACTCTAACGGTGATGTTATTGAACGATAAAATCACTGTTTTGGGTATATTATTTCTTAAATAACGTTAATGAGGTACTAAAGACCGCACATGATATTCACGTGCCTATCGTTTCCGATTGTTTCGATTTGTTTTTGGTCGTTCTTGTTTTTGCGCGGTCTGCTTATGATGCCTGTCTCCGACCCGCCTTTTCTTTCTTTTGGAACTGCCCCTTGTTTGCCTTTTTCAGCCGACTGGAAGATTTTGGCTATTCTGCCGGTTGTAATTTCAACTTCAAGCTTTAATAAATTTATATCATCATCGTCGTCGTCTTCAACTTTTTCACCTGTAGATCTACAATAACTGCCAATGCAGCTAATTTCATATCAGTAGTGTGTTGGTTTTTTTCTAAAGGATCACATCTAGCCTCATGAGAATGCAATTTCTTTTATGTCAGAAAATATAAAGTTTGTACATCGATTGTATTTTAAAGTGATTTTACAGGAATAATCAAACGCACGGATTTGAGTTACTTTGTTTCAGTACGCAATCTACGTAGATGTCATTAAATGCTGTTCTAGGGTAGTGTATTGAAAAGATAAAATTACAGATGCATCTATAAACCAGGTATTAGAAATACATGTAGTTAGATTAATAAAAGAGCACGATAAATCAAGGTCATTGAACAAAATACATCTAACATGTAATGGAGATTGAAGGTTGGTTTAATATGAACAGATGAACAGAAGAATCACAACATTGTGGAAATGGAGCACAAGTTTCACTTAATGGTATCAATTAAGTAACATTACATTTAATTTTCCAAATATAATTTTAACGTTTGTTCTCAATCTAGACATTTTAAAGATGAACATTGATAATTTTCTCATAACATTTTCATTTTGTGATGTTAAAAATTCAATAAATGTAGGGTATTTGGTATTTTCCACAAAAATTTACTCATATGCTGTTTTTTTTTTCTCAATACATTAAATAGCAATAGCAAGGCTTGTGCTCAAGTTACTTACCAAACTAATAGAGAAATAAGTGCCTTTCAAATTTCTCCGTGACAAATTATCTCCAATATTTTAGCCTAATGGTTATCTGTCTCTTACAGATGATGGGATTAGAAGTTGGTCGCTTTTGGAGAAATTGGTGAATACTCACGAGTTATCTAGGAAAGTCGATGGTCCGGCAGTCGATATATAACCAAAATGTGTTAAAATCTGCGTAATAACAATAAACTAGCAAGGAAGTACTTACGAATTACAGAACCGTTGGTACTGAGAAAATCGGACTTTTATGTAGATAGTGTGTTTAATGTTACCTTCTTTTTGTGCCTTCATCGCCTCTCTGGCTTTACGCAGTTCCTCGTTATTCTCTTCATTATCTGGCGGGTTCTCGTCTTCTTGTATGTCAGGTTCTAAAATCTCCGGTTCTTCCATGTCAACAGCCTCCTGTGTTTGTTCTGTGGTGGTCTCAGGCAGTTGCTGGTCATCTAAAAGTGAATCATAAAAGGTGAAAGCAGTGACAATACAGTATTTAGATCCGGCTTCTATTTGTTATGTATGGCTTGTTTTGCAAGAGGCTATTTTACTGAAACTTAAATTATTACATGTTCAATACCTTTATATTGATGTAATTTTTTAATACCTTGTAAATAATAATAATTAAAAAAACACACACAAAAAAACAAAAACAAAAAACTGAAATATATTTCATTCATAAATTTAAATTATCTGTCACATCGTTTATCGAGAGTTACAACGACTGTTAACGGACTTATATTTTTGAATGCTGTAAACTGAAATTAAACATGTTTTATGATTGACACATGTGTCATATTCATGTTTAATACATGTCGGGAGTTTAAATTGTATTTTGTCATTTTCAAATGTTTTTTTTTTCTTTCTTTTCTATAAGATACTATTTAATATTGTTGTAGTGGCGCCATTTATAAACGTAAGCGCTTTATATGCCAATATCTACGACTTATTTACCAAAATGAAGTGACCACTTAATGCTATCTGTGCCAATCCTTACAAACGATTATATAGACACAGAAATAGCTTTGAATACAAAATTGATAAATTTGCAACAAGGAGCAGCGCCATCTGGCGTATCTCATCATGGAATAGTCCTGAAAAAAAATCACAGTATACACGTCAGTTTGGTAAAGGGCCCTACAACGCAAGACTTTCTGAATTCGTTTAAAGACGACATGAAAGCTTTTTGTTCTGAATGGAGTTTGGCATGATTATACTAGATGAAAAGAGGAGTTGAATGTGCTTTCAAACGACAATATTTAAAAATCAAAATTTTCTCTATCTTAAAAAATGCAACAGACCAGCGCATCCCTTTACCAACTCTATGGCGAAAATTCATTTTGGCCTGGCTTTGCCTTCAGAACTTTGATTACTTGGGAAGTTCTTAACATATTTACACTATTAGGAACAACTTACAGTGTTGTTACAATTAAAGTATGATGTGTTCTCGGCAAGGATTTTGGATTATATTTTTTTCTGCAATGGTGTATTTGAATAATTTACATCATGGTGTAATTGGATTTTTTGTCGGCATTGTTGTACATGTATTTGTATTTTTATCTACATTTCATCTGCCGTTCTGGACTTTCTTTAGTAACTCTATTTCTCTCTAATTTATAGCCAAATCATCGTTAATTGGGCCGTTGGTCGCCCCGTACTTACAATCAGAGAGGTTATATTGCCAATCCTTAAAGACCGTTTGACATGACATCATTGTTGTTTTCGGTACTTAGTTTCGCCATTATACAACACACGCATTCTCTTATTTTGGAACCATACGCAATCTTTCATTGAATGGCACAGACGAGTCACATTTACCGTCGTACGGACACATTTGCGGATGTTTCTAAATTCAAAATTCTATCATATCATGTCAAATGTTGAATTCTGCTTAAGCTGGCGAAAGAGGGCGTGGACAGGCACTTTATTTTCAATATTTTCTACTACCGTTCATGAACAAAACAATCAACATGTTCAATTTTGCCATTTTGTATTTCCTTTAGGGATATATTTCTCTCTATTTTGGTGTATTTGATTTTTGTCTGTTCTGTATTTGTGTATTTAGAATTTTATCTGCCTTTATACATTTGTTGTTGTTTTTGTATGATTGTTGTTTTAGGATTTTTATTTCTGCTTGCATTACTGTATTTAAATTGTTACCTGCATTGGTGTATTTTCTTTTGTTGTTTGTTTTGTTGTTGATGTCCGCATTGATGTATTTAGATTTTGATTTTTATCTGCATTTGTGCATCAGGATTTTGCCTGCATTGATGCATTTGGATTTTTGTCTGCATTGATAATTTATGATTTTGGCTGCATTTGTGTAAACGGATTTTTGTTTGTAGTGGTATATAATGCGTATATATCTGCATTAGTATGTTTATATTTTTGTCTGCATTGGTATATTTGTCTTTTTACTTGGATTTTTGACTGTATTAGTGTTTTGCATTGGAAGCAGAGATGTGCTTGAACCAACAGTTATATATCTAACAAGATTTTCTAAGTTCATAATAGTGATCATATTTTACATACTGGCAGTACAGAATACACATTAAAACATGAAACATTCTATTCTAGTAAGCCCTGTGAGTAAACCAATTAATTGACAACAAAGGTTAATGTGTGTATCTAATTTTATCAAATATAGACATCCAAGTCAAAACAGATTTAAAGGAATAACAAAGTATGAATAAAATGATAAAAGTACGTCTTAACTTAAGTATATGTAATCATAATTGACTTTCTAAAATTGTATTTATTATGTAACTCTAAACAACGATGCATATATATAAGGACATAAAACATCATTTTTTCGGTGCTACAATTTACTGTATCTGTAAAAGCTATAAAAGAATCTAAGAACGTAAGAACAGTAAAATGTTTACAACTTGTATCATGCAGTTTGGGGACCTTCTTGTTGAAAATGTGTCAGAGTTAAATCGTATACATAACATGCAAAGTGCATTAACTGGAGTCCATGTATTAGTTTTTGTTTGTTTGTTTGTTTCATTTTACGCCTTTTTCAACAGTATTTCAGTCATATAGGCGGGTAGTTTCCTAACCATCGTTCCTGGAGAGTTACACCAGTACTAGACTACCTTCCTCCGCGCTAAACTACCAAAGCATCTCCCGGGGATCGAACCCACGCCAGAGAGGTAACTGGATTAGAAGTCATCGACTCTAACCCCTCGACCACGGAGGCGGTCCATGTATTAGTTACCTGCACTCCAGAGCATACCCATTGACTGGCTAATTATTTTCTGGGGTTTACTTATTATGATGGCAGAGAAAAGGATAGCGATAGAAATATCATATTCAGATGCTCATTCATTTGTTACTTTTTTCTGGAGTTTCATATTGTTACAACAGGGAACGTGTTTTTATTTTTGCATATGATACAAAAGAGAAAGAAGATTAAAACATTCGGCAATCTGATTGATACTCGGGGGGGGGGAGGGTTATTACATATAATTAAGACAACACAGAACGCAGATAATGCGAAACACAACTGTCTGTTTAAAACAACAATTTAGTTGACAAAATATATATTATTTTCATTATTTTTATCAGTTTTATGTTCTTTCATTTTGATATCAGAACCTTTCATAAGCTTTTCCATTTTTAGAACTATATGCCCTTGTTTGTCTCTTTCAGGCGCGTGGAAGCTTAAAGGTTGGAAATCGTTTTGATCCAAGCAATTGTCTTGCTGTCTAAGTTGGGCACAGAGTGTCTAAGCTTCTCTATCCTGAGTCTGTTTGCCATGACTAGTTGTAGATCCAGCTTATGGTCATAATTAGCTTCTTTTCTTTCTGCTTTCTTCAACGGATCCAGGTCACTTCTTTGACACGTTTCAGTTAGTTCTTTCAAAAAAGAGGTGAGATAAAATTTGTTATGAATAAATAAATGAAATGAATACATTGCTTGCTTGATATATTTAGTAAATCGGTACATTCTGGAAGTATTCAAGTCTTATAGATTTAGATTTTATTATAAAATGCATGTGAGAAATATACCCATACATAAATACAGAAACATTATGAACAGAAAACCATATCACAGCATTGTGCAAATGAAGCACAAGTTTCACATAATGGTATCAACTAAGTAACACTTATTAAACATTTGTTCTTAATTTAGACATCTTTAGATAAACATTGATAAATTAAATCTAATTTTCATTTTGTGATGTTAACAACTTAATAAAATTAGGTCCAAAACATTTATTTATAACTTTTTTTTTTCAAAACGCAATAACCAGGCTTTTGCTCATAAATTATGTATCAGTACTTATGTTTTATTGAAAGTAACATATTAATCAACAGAAACAGTGTTCGTCATCAACCAATCAAATTGATAGGGAAATACGTACCTTTCAAAATTCTCCTGAAAATTATCTCCGATAGTGAGCCTCATGGTCATCTGTCTCTCACTGCTGATTCAGATATCAGATGGAATTAGTAGTTGGTCGCTTGTGCAGATTGGTGATTATCCGGGAGTTATCTACGAAAGTCGATTAGATGGACCGGCAGTCGGGATATAACCAGAATGTGTTAAAATCGACGAAAAAAAAACAATCAAACCAACAGGAAATATCTAACGAATTCGAGGACCGTTGCCACTGAAAAAACGACTTGCGAGCGCAATTTGGGAGTTCTTTTGTTTTAACAGAAGCAAAGAAGACGACATTTGTCTTATTTTAAGTTTCAGATAATTATTTTTGATGTCTGTAGATTGTGTATTTTATGTTACCTTCGTTAAGTGCAGCAAGCATTTCATGTTAAACTATGCTTAAAGCAGCAAGCCTCTAGATAATAATATTTCAAAATCTCTCTTCTAAATCATTATATAGTTGAAAGGAGTAGAAATAAAACTATAAAATGTTAATATTTTAACAGACAGTTCGCATTTCGGCCAACGGAATATACATTCTTTTATTAAACTACGAATTTTTTTTTCATCTGTTTTTTTCCTAATTCTAGGTGATGGTACATGACAATATGACGACCATTGATTCGGAACGCCCGGAACCAACATAGAGGAAATGGAATAAACTGCTTTGGTTTTGATATTTGTCGCAATTTGCGGCCCTTAAAGTTATAATTGATTAATTAAATTTAATGCATGATGACCAGTATATCGATTTAAATTTTAGTTTTAAATAAGATTAGAGCCAACACATTAACGGACATTGATATAAGATCCCGGGAGCACCGGATCCCGGGATTTTTCCGAAACGGTTGTAATGCGTGACCATGTTAAATAAATTACCTCTCAATTTTATACTGGCTACTGCTACACGGTTATTAACGCTTCAGACAAGCTTCTTTTTTTAATTATGATATCAGTTATAATGGATGTACACATTAAAACTAAGCTGGGACTTAAAATACCTTATCTGTTGTCCCAAGCTGATTAAAATCAGCTCCTAAATAACGCAACGCATTAGGATCTG